GGCTAGTGGGAGGAGGCCAATAGGGAAGTGGGCTCGATAAAACTGTCTCAAAAATAATTTCCATCTTAAAAAGCTCATGAAGGGAACGGGAGAGGTATTTCAGTTTCTTAAATGGAAGCCTGAAAATAAAAAATAAAAGGCTTGTTGATGGAGAACCTTGAAAGCCTGAGAAAGACTGAGGGTATCACTGCAAAAAGATTGCCTAGTAACAGAGCTTTCTTGTATTACACCCAAAGCTGTGTACCATCTGAGGCTGATTCAGGAAAATACTCAAATCTCCTGGTAATTTCCTGCAGACAGGACGTTTAATCATCTCCAAGCCTCCACCGCAAAAGAAAAAAAAAAAAAACAACCCTAAACCAAATGATTCACACTCTTAAAACGAATCTGCCTTCAGAACAAGAACGGTTTTCTGCTCTTGAAAAGCAGCCACGATTTGTTATTCTAACAAAGTGTTCCTTTCCTCCAAACAGAAATAAAAGTTGCTCAAGGAGGGCTTGTACTGATTTCTGTTCTGCATTTCTTAAAACTTCCATCCAGTCAACAGTTTCTCCTGGCAGGTTCTCAGAAATCCAGGGGGAGCTGGGCAGTCAGTGACTAAGAACACAAGATCATTTTTATAAGCCTCCCTCCCCCTTACTTTGGCCCCATGGGAAGATGTTTTATTGTAGGAGGAACAGAATTAGCTGTACATATAAATTCTTCACTGCTGGGCTCACTTGACACCTTTATCTGAATTGCCCAATGGCTAGGAAGATTTGGCAGTTGATGATTTGAACAAGAAAGGCCCAAGTCCTCCCCAAGTGGTACTTGTTCTGTCTGTACATAAGGGACACGTCCATCTCCCTAATCACTCAACTAGTTGCACAGATAAAAACATCTGTTTGCCGAAAGCAGGGCACCCAAAGTACACAAATGATTCACACCACCTAAACAAGTATAAATAAAGGCCACTAAAAGCCAAAATAATTTAATATGGGTGGAAATAAAATCTGGCAATCCATGCATCAGACTTTGCTCCAATTTTGGAAGGTATTTTTTTTGCCTGCCTCATCGTTTAAAAAAACAAGAAACAAACAAACAAAAAAAAACCCAAAAACTCTGACCCTCTGCATTAGGTTCTCAGCTTCTAGCTTAGGTACACACAAGTGAACAGACTGGGGAGAGAGAGGGAGGAAGCTGAAACTGCATCTTTTAAATACCCGCTCCCAACCCCTATGGAATATTTTGGTATTAAAATTTCCCAGCATACAGCTGCCCAGACACCCCAGATTTACATGATCCCAGTCTTCACCAAATCTTGACTCTCCCAGCAGCTAAGCCAGTACATTTGGAAACCTGGGAAAGCAAGGTTCCGATGAACTACCCCCCCCCACCCCAACAGCCTTCTCATCCTACCGACTCCCTTAAATAGAGCTAGGAAGGGCAAGAGAGGGGAGGTCTCTCCTCCACCTCCACTCCTACTTGGGAGAGAATAAACCGTCAAATACAGAGTTGCTTAATTACAGAAATCCACCGAAGAGAAAAGAAATGCATTTGGAAAGATCTAGGGAGATAAACAATAAGGAGTGTGGGAAGAAGTAAATAATTTTTTTTTAAGTAGACCCTCCTGAAGGCATTAAAATAATTTTGATAGTGTAAGGTTAATAATAAGTAGGTGATTAGAAACACATTTTAAACTTTGAGGGAAATGAATTGAAAAAGAATAAAGGCTGTTTAGAAAGCAAGCTCTGGGAAGTTTCAATGTTTCCCCTGAAGAAGTCTTATTACAATAACAACAGTATCCCCTCCTCACGATTATATCATTATTACTATTACTGGTTAATAAAGTGGCTGCGCAAAAGCTGGCAGACACTCAGACCGAAATGATCCTAGGTCGTTCTCCCCAGAGCTCACAATTTTCCAGTCTCTGTGGCCAAGATGCATCTCTCCTATAGGTTAGTTTCCCAGTTCAAGGCTCCCTGTTCCCTGGGAAAGTCGTGAAAACTAGGAGCAAATGCGCCCCAGCGCCCCGCTCCGTGCAGCCGGGCCATGGGGGCCACTTACCCGGCTCAGCCTTGCATTGCTCGCAGCTGTGGCGCCTCTGCCGTCAGGGAACTTAGAGGGAGCCGGGAAGGGACAGCGGGTGCGGCAGCGGCTAAGAAGCCCAGCGGGGTGTCTGCCGCCAACTGCCCAAAGCCAGAGGGGGCCCTGCAGGGGCTCCGTGCAAGGGAGGTAACATTCCCGGGCGGTGGCAGCTGCTCCCTGCACAGCCTCGATCCAGAAAAATCTCAGGTCCTGGAGGGAGAAGCTACAAGCTCTCCAGACTGCCTCTCGGCTGCTTAAAGGGACGCCTCCCCACCTACCGCTCCGCTTATTGGTGAAAATTCAGAGCCACAAGCCAATCCTATGCCTGTTCCCAAATTGAGATTTCAATCAAGGGAGCTACTGCTTTAAAATTAGAAAGGGCTGGTGGGGGTGGGGGACGGGGGTTGTTTAGCCATCTTTCAGAAGCAGAAGGACACAGGCTCTCCCTGGCCCTTGCACACAGGGGTCCTGAGAGCCGGCAGTGGCTGAAGAGCAAGATGATACTGTGCAGAGCACATGAGGAAGATAGGGGAGATGCTGGACCCTTGGCCTTCATCCCTCCCGTCCATCTCCACACAACTCACTCATCCTTCAAGGCCCATCCAATACAGCACACATATTGGAGACTCTCTGTTCCTGGGAAGAGTCCCCAAGCTATGTGCTTCTAAATCTCCCCATTATTCCTCCCTTCTAGATACTCATCATACTTTCGCTTTTTGCA